TCCCCAAACCCCAGTCTCTGCGCATTTTCGAGACTTCACTACTCAATCCGCCGCACCGCCGACCGCGATTGCGGTTAAACTGCCGTTTCTAGCCACACCCCACCCAAACTTTCGCGCACGCCCATGGCCGCCTTGAAGCCCGCCACCCTCAAGGACCTCGACCCCCGCAATCAGATCGAGCGGATCCCTTGTTGCGTGTTCAAGCACGCCAAGAGCGCCAGCGAGTACGTCGCCGCCCAGATCGCCGAGCTGATCCGCGAGCGCGCCGCCGAGGGCCGGCCTTGCGTCCTTGGCTTGGCGACCGGCAGCACGCCGACGACCGTCTACGCCGAGCTGGTGCGGCTGCACCGCGNNTCGCCGGCGTCCACACGTTCAACCTGGACGAGTACTACCCGATGCAGCCCAACGAGCTGCAGAGCTACGTCCGGTTCATGAACGAGAACCTCTTCGACCACATCGATATCGATCAAGCGAACGTCAACATCCCCGACGGTACGCTCCCCGAAGAAGAGGTGCTCGCCCACTGCGCGGCGTACGAGCAGAAGATCGTGGATCTCGGCGGCGTCGATATACAGGTCCTCGGCATCGGCCGCACGGGCCACATCGGTTTCAACGAGCCGGGTTCCGGCCGTGAGAGCCGCACCCGTATGATCACGCTCGACAAGAAGACGCGCCAAGACGCGGCGAGCGACTTCTTCGGCGAGGACTACGTGCCGCGTCGCGCGATTACGATGGGTGTCGGCACGATCCTCGAAGCGCGGCAGGTCTACATGCTCGCCTTCGGTGAAGGGAAGGCGAAGGTCGTCGCCGAGGCGATCGAAGGTCCCGTGACGCCGATCGTCGCGGCGAGCTTCCTGCAAGAGCACGACAACGCGGTGGCGGTCCTCGACGAAGCCGCTGCCGACCGGCTAACACGCTACCAAGCGCCGTGGCTGCTGGGGCCGCTCTCCTCGGGCCCCGGCGGCGTCTTCGAGTGGAACGACTACTGGACCCGCAAGGCCGTCATCTGGCTGGCACGGAAGCTCAACAAGCCGATCCTCAAGCTCACCGAAGAGGACTACAACGAGGACGGCCTGCAAGAGCTGCTCGCCAAGAAGGGCCGCGCCTACGACATCAACCTGCAAGTCTTCCGCCAGTT